TCAGCCATGCTCGAACAGGACAAGTGTGCAGAGGGGTGGCCTCCCTTCTCACTTGCTACCCACCTCTAACCTTGAAAACATATTTTAGGAGAAAAATTGTCATAAATTGCTTCTACTTGACTTATTTTCTGCATTTATTTATTTATTTATCTACCTACTTGCGTATACATGTATGTATGTAGCCCAGACTGACCTTGAACTCACCAGCCCCTAACTTAGATTCAGGCATAGGCTGTGAAGATATTTTGTTTTCAACTGTTCTTTTTGTAATTTTGCTTATGCATATGGGTGGTTTTTGTCTGTACCACATGTATGCCAGGTGCCCATGGAGGCCAGATGTGGACACTGAATCCCTGGAACTGGAGTTGCAGATGGTTGTGAGCCTCCATGTGTGTTGGGAATCAAACCCAGGTTTCCTGGAAGGGTATCCAGTACCCTTATTCATTAAGCTGTCTATCTACCAACCCCTGCCCCGATTTAAATTAAACAGTAGAAAGTTGCTTACTAAATAGGGAAAGGTTTAAATTACATAACAAATAAAACAATGATTAGATTCGTGGGGACGACTGAGCCAGTGAGCCAACAGCATCTTCCATGGTTTCCTTGGTTGGAGGTAATGCTGTGTGGGATAAAGGTATCCCACCTTCAGATTCCTACCTTGAGTTTCTGCCCTGCCTCTCTCAATAATGAACTTGACCTAGAAGTAGCCTCCTGTCTGAACACCCCAAGTGCCAGGATTAAAAGCGCATGCCACCATGCCTGGTTTATAGTCCTGGAGAGCAAACCTTGAATCACAAACACTTTAGAAATTTGCCAATTATTTTTGAGGTAGCACTGCCATAGGAAGCAAGATATACATTAGGGATAAAGAATATCATACCTAAAATTTTTGCTTGTTTGTTTGTTTTGTTGTTGTTGTTTTGAGACAGGGTTTCTCTGTAGACCAGGCTGTCCTGGAACTCACAGAGATCTGCCTGCTCTGCCTCTCCAGTGCCACCACTGCCTGCTCCTAAAGAAAAAATTGAAAGAGCTCCAGGAGGTGGAGAGAAGGCTAGGCATCACATGGCTACTCACAACAATGTGAGTATCTGATGCCTCTTCTGACCTCCACAGGCACCAGGAATGCATTTGGTGCACATACATACATGCAGGCAAAACACTTCAAAGGACAGGACTGTTAGTCTGTCCTTGGGGTTCTGACAGAATACGCCCTCAGCTGCAGCCACTAAGAGCACTACCTATGCACATTCACTATGTTCCTTTTTTAAAGGGCCTGCCCACCTCCCATCTTCCTCTCTTTCTTTCTCTCCCTTTCTCTGTCTCTTTCTGTGTATTTGCTCCTATCTCTCTCTCTGTTTCTTTGCCTGTCCCCAGAGGCTAGTTTCCCCACTCCCCTCCCTGCTTTTCCCATTCCCTTTCCCCTAATTTAAAAACAAAAACAAGCAAACAAAAAAAAAACCTCTTGTGAGCTCTGTCTCATGGCATCTTTCTCTCTAGTGACTTGGTGTGGTCAGACTGCCTGGTATGTTCTGTGAGCCCCAGTTGGCCTAAATTAGTCATGGTTTTCTTAGTTGCTAATCAGTTCAGCTTGTTTCCATTAATGGCTTCCCTGCTACCCTCAACTGGAAGAAAACTAGCCCCTTCCAGAGGATGGACTGCTTGCCCACACACAGCAAGAATGCCTTAAGCTATGGATTGAGGAGCAGATGACCCTGGTCATCTAGGAACAGGTTGAAGATCCAAGTGAAGATCAAAGACACCTGTGCTTCCTGAGATAAAACCATAGCAGCCATGCAGGATCTGGCTTGAGTGAGAGTGGTAAATTCACAGTACCCAGGTTGAGCTATCCAGAGCTGAGGGTCCTGCTAGTTTGGTGTTCAGGTCAGGTATGCATTTATAGAAACTCCAATAAGGGTTCTCTCTTTCTCTCTCTCTCTCTCTCTCTCTCTCTCTCTCTCTCTCTCTCTCTCTCTCTCTCTCTCTCTCTCTGTGTGTGTGTGTGTGTGTGTGTGTGTGTGTGTGTATGTGTGTGTGTGTTCACATATGTGCTGAGGTACTTGTGGGGGGTTGCATGTGGATGTTTGTGCAGGTCTTAAAGACAATAGTAGTTGTTCCTCAGATGCCATTTTGTTGTTGTTGCTATGTTTTTTACTTTTACATATTTGTGTGGGTTGGTGGCAGGCATTTGTGTGCTATAACATGGATGTGGAGGTCAGCAGCCAACTTGCAAGAATCAGTCCTCTCCTTCTACTATGTGTGTCCCAGGGATTGAACTCAGGTTGCCTAACCAGTACCTCTACCCAGTGAGCCTTCTTAGTGACCCTAGGTTTTTGTTTGTTTTGTTTTCAAGACACTTTCATCAGCCTATAGCTCACCTAGCAGGCTAGCCTAGCTGGTGAACCCCAGGGATCTGCCTGTCTCTACCCCTATCAAGATTACAAGCATTTACCATGCCTGTGTTTTTTGTTCATTTGTTTGTTTTGGATTTTTTTATGTGGGTTCTAGGAATTGGGCTCATTTCCTGACACTTGGAAGGCAAGCACCTTACTGACTAAACTTCCCCAGCCCTAATCATTCTTTAGTGTTCTTTTCTTGCTTTGAATGTATTTATGCCTTCATTATTGCCATCCATAAGACAGCACTATTGCTTCCTCCCACGTTTCTTATATAATTCTATACTTCTAATTTTCCTTTTGGGCAGAATATCACAGAGCTGCGTATGACCTTCCAGTAACTCAGGCAAAGAATTCATCAAGATGTTCTTATCTGTCTAGGGGAAAACCCTGAGATGGTTCAGAAAAGGAAGGAACAATACAGATGTCTGCTGTCACAGTTCTTTGGAAATATCCCATGAGCCCTAGGTAAGATTCTTGTCTCTCTACTCATGGGCCTCATTAGCTACTACAGACCTCATAGCACCAGTCTGTGGTGTGCTCCTTAGACTAGAAACCACACTGCTTCCATGATGGCCTGTTCAGGTGCGGATCTGTTCTACTTCACCAACTATAAGTCTCCTTATTGAATTTCTATCTGTCCTTCCACGCTCTATTTGACCTGTTTAATCAACATGAGGATAAATTATAATCTTTACATGGTTTTTACAATAACCACAGATATTGGCCTGTACATGTATATTTACCCTACCTTTTATCCCTATGGTTTTAACATGGTACTAATATTCTGAAGTGACACAGACAAATCTTTACTTATTCTTTAAGATATATAAGCATATCCTTTAAGATAAATGCATTTTCTCTTATTTATCATCAATACATCCTAAGGTAAATCCTTTTTAAAAATTCTTGTCTTGACACACTATTTTCAAGTACAGAATTTTCCTCAAAGTACATAATTTGTCCATTGCAACACTGTCAATAAGATCTTTTTTTTTCTATTACTTTACATAGTTACTATGGTTATATCCTGAAGTATTGCATGAGGAACTTTTAATGACAAGTCAAAAACCTACTTTTGTGGAGAAACTATGGTGCCATGGCTACTTCAGGTATTTGTGTTCATCCCATTCCCTATCAATCCTGTTTAAATGGATACTGCATTTTACAGATGAGAAAACTGGGCTGGAGTTAGAGGCTGATTCCTCATTGAGCTTCAGATCCTGTCCTTTCTTCTGGAAGAATACTTCCTCAGTGCCCTGTAGATTAGGAAACTCACAGGTGCACTCTCCCTGCTTTAGGAAACTCACAGGTGCACTGTCCCTGCTTTAGGAAACTCACAGGTGCACTCTCCCTGCTTTAGGAAACTCACAGGTGCACTGTCCCTGCTTTAGGAAACTCACAGGTGCACTGTCCCTGCATTAGGAAACTCACAGGTGCACTCTCCCTTCAAATGCTATCATCTACACATAAGTATGCACAAGACTGTTCAAAATGGATGCAGTTGGGATCTTGCACTGGATATGAATACAAACTCTACTCTACTAAAAATGTCCTCAAACTGTGATCCCACATTTGGTAAACACTTCAAAGGGGTAATGTACTTTGAGATTTAAAATGTATTTAGGTCCTAATTTCCAATACCTGCACCTGCTTATTGGCCATCAGCACGTTTTAATACAGGATGTGTCACATCCTTGGTTTCAGGTCAGAACTCTAGGAGCACACAAGCTCTCTCTACTTCCCCTTGGCTGGCATGCTATTACAATCAGACTACATGCTTTCAGAATACCGTCTGACTCTACTGAAGGAAGGCTACCTCCAAACATGGAAGAAGTTGTGGAAAGAAGATAGTTTGAGCACAAGCAGGCGAAATGCTAGACTTGCTCTAATCTATTTTTAAATGGCTGTCAGATGCCTGTAACTGACACCCTTAATTGGAAGTTCTGAGGTTTAAATGTGTTCATTAAGATTTACTAAAATATAACATGATAATGAATCCATTTTTTAAAATTGAATTTCCTTTTGGTCTGACTTTTTAATCTCAAGGTTTCTTTAATCTATTTAGTGATAGTATAAGTCATTTTTAAATACCCAGTGGTTTTCCAGCAACTTGATCTATTACTGCACAACACACTGCTGCCCACCTAGAAAGCTAACATTTCCTAATCATTCAGATAACCCCATGCAAAAAGAATATTTGGACAAAATATTCAAACACACAGGCCTAGTATCAACTAAATATTTGCCTTGACTCCTCAAGTTTCAGTATATATACTCTTCATTTACAAATCGATCTTTTGGGCCACTTTTTGTTTGCTATTTCTGACTGTCAAGACAGACATGATGTGAAAGGAATGATCTTAGTCACTGACAAACCAAACCAAACAAACATTTTAAAATGTTCCCAAGTTTTATAGAACTCAGAGGGGACTTGACACAAGACTGGAGTATTTGCGTTAAAGCCCTACATATCGCAATATCCCATCCAGCCTCAGTCTGTCTCAGAAGGAAACAGGCTGCTTTGTTCTCTGTTGTAGAAAATGTCAAAGGTGATATTTAAGGCACAGCCAATCCTTGTTAAAAACTGAAAGTCTCCATACTTACTTTTCAATACTGTCTATCCGAGAGATGTTATTGGAGGGCTGGCTTGTTGTCCCCTGGATGTACGTGAAGCATGGATTGGACGTCCTTATGTCCTTGTCCCCTGATGGGGACTCAGATTCAGGATCTTGTCCACAAACAGATCAAAGAGCAGTTGGGTCTGTTTCAGAATGACTCGTGTCTTCCTAGGAGGGTAAAGTCCGTGCCCAAGCAAGTTCTAGAAGGAGAGCATGTTTTGCCTGCCCTTGAATGAAATAGGTCACTGCTGAATCTGGAGAATATTTTTCAGCATCACTGTGATGAAACTTGAGGGCCGCTTTCTGCAGTAGGTGCCACACTTGTTGACGCTGCTTGCCTGCCGGAGAGGCCCTGGCAAAGGGACTTGATGAAACACAGCCCCAAGGGAGCTGAAATCCAGAAGAGCTGTCACTGACTGCTGCTGGACACGGAAGGACAGCTCTCTGCACAAAGTCTATGCAGCACCTTGACTTAATTGCCCTCCTCTTAGGAAAGCAATCAAGTTGAGGGAATTAGGCGTCTGAAGTCATGATAGGAAACCCCCGGGGAGGGTGGGAGGGAGATGAAAATAAGTGCTCATGCATTGTTCCTTTAGAAATGGCACTGAACTTCCCCTGAAATTCTCTGAGGAGAAGACACAAAGGCAGGACACCACCACCCCACCTCAGAAATTTGAGGCCATTCTCATTGATATGATGAGTTTAAGGTCAGCCTAGGCTATATGAGACCTAGTCTTTAAAACAGTCAGGCATTGTAGCACACACCTTTAATCCCAGCACTTGGGAGGAAGAGATAAGCAGATCTCTTGTGAGTTTGGGGCCAGCCTGGTCTCTATAATGAATTCCAGGCCAGCTAGGGCTACATGGAGAGACCCCCATCTCTAAATAAATAAATAAACAAAAAAAAAAATATGAGAAACACAGAAAAGTGTCACCGGGCCCTAGTCCTTCAGTTTGTCAGCAATTATTCCTGTTTCAAAGTTTTTAAATGGGTGTTTCTTTGAAATTTGTTCAAACCCAAGAAAAGGACATGGAAAATCCAGAGGTGTCCTTTTGTAAGTCCCCTTGCCTCACTACAAAAATATGTTAATGCTTGATACCTGGAAACTGACTAGCTAGAAGGAAACCTCTTGTGAGACAGAGATGGCTAAAATTAGCAGCTCTAAGTGGGTGACTTTGAAAGGGACATGACCGAAACTCCACTCTGTGGTGAGCACTGTGCTCCTCAAAAGCACTGTGTCTGCACGGCACACTGTGTTCCTCGCTGTTCTGGGCAGAAGAGATGCACAAGACAAAAAAGTCACTATCTGAGATTAGTTAATATCGAGACGTAGGCTGTCCAGCTGCGGGGTTCAGTTTATCAGTTTTGTCTACACAGAAGAAGGAAGATACTGAGAGCTCAAAGGCTCTGAAGTAACACCCCCCCCCTTGCAAACACACCCATGAAATGGGACTGAACATAGAGAGAACCAAATCCCTGTGACTATGGCTATCAGCTCTTTTCATGTAAAGCTGGGGATCTCGACTCCAGAGAAAGAGAGAAAACTTGAAAATGGGAATGAAAAGGAGGTGATGATGAAAAGTAAGCAAACTGGGCCACTGAGATGGCTCAGTGGGTAATGGCTCTTATCACCAAGCCTGACAACCCAAGTCCCATCCCGGGGTGCACTTGCTAGAAGGGAAGGACTAATTCCTGCAGGCTGTTCTCCAACCACTATGCATGCTGCGGCACATGCACATACACACACTAAATACATAAATAAACAAATGTACTAAAAATACTAAGAATAAAAAAAGCCACACACACAGAGCAGGAGAGGATAAAGCCAAGAATGAACAAATGGCCCAGGACAATAGATCAATATGACATGGTTAAGAGAGATGTGCATATGTGGGACAATTGAAACTCACTTGGAGGCTTACTTTTGTTTCAAGACCAAGCACTTGAATTCCTAGCATTTGTCTCCTAGTAAAATAGATGTAATGATACAGATATCTGCATACCCATGTTTGCTGAGGCAGAATTCATAATGACCTGGTTATGCAATCAGCCTATGTGCTCCTCAACAGATGAGTGGATAAAGAAAACATGGCACATATGCACAACGGACTATTCAATCAGTCATTGGGGCAAAGAAGTTATGTTGTTTGAAAGAAAATGGATGGAACTGGAGGTCATTGTGCAAGATAAGCCAGTCTCCCAAAAACAAGTGTGATGGTTAATCATTGACAACTTGACTGAGAAGTCACCACTGAAAAACACCTCTGACTGTGGGCGAGGGTATTTCCAGAACTGTCAGGGGCTAGAAAACTAACCTGAATGTGGGCAGCACCATTCTATGAAGTAGGGTCCTGGGATGCATGAACAGGAGGAGACTTGCTAAGCAGCACATTCATCATCCACTCTGCTTCTTCACTGAAGATGCCATGTAACCTCGTGTACCTGCCACCACACCTTTCCTCACCATGGTGGGCCATGTCCTCTCCAACTATAAGCCAAAACAAACCATTCCTCAGTCAAGTTGCTTCTTGTCTGGTCTTTGATCTCAAGAACTAGAAAAGAAACCAACAGAACAAGCATGGTGTATTTTCTATCATGTGTGGAATTGGGGATATTAGGTTTGGTTTTTTTTCTTTGTTTGTTTGTTTGGTTGGTTGGTCAACTTGGCACCAGCTAGGGTCATCTGGGAAAAGAGAACCCTTGGTTGAGGAAGTGCCTCCATCTGACTGGCCTATAAGTGTGTCTGTGGGGGTGTTTCCTTGACTAATAACTGATGTGGCAGGGGCGGGGAGCGTCCACTCTGGGCAGTGCCACCACCAGTGAAGGTGGTCTTGGGCCCTAAACAAAAACAGGCTGATGAGGCATTGGCAGCAAACTAGTAAGCAGCACTCTTCACGGCCTCTGCCCCAGTTCTTGCCTCCTGATTCCTGCCTCAAGTTCCCGCCCTGACTTCCCTCCATGGCAGACAGTAAACTATGAGATGAGACAAACCCTTTCCTCCCCCAGATTACTTTGGCTCATGGTGTTTTTCTTCTGAACTAGAACAGGTGGGCAGGGAAGGTAGAATAGGAACAATTTGGGAGATGAGAGGTAGAGGAACAACAAGGAAGCAAAACAGAATAGGTGAGCAGGTCAACATACATGTAAGCCTTAGTATGGAAATGCTATGGTGCCACCCATTGCTTTGTGCGATATAGATACTAACAAAAGCAAAACAAATGTATGAAGCTGAAAGATATATACATATATGTATATATATATATGTGTGTGTGTGTGTGTATATTCATATGTATTAGATCTGACAGCATTTGCTTTGTTAATCATCTCATCAGCCAGATACTAAGATTTTTGTTTTAACAACAGATTTTTTTAAGAGCACGGGTACACAAAAATCAGGAACAGAAACCATTGAATTAAGCCCTACTTGGCCAGGGTATTTACTCAGAATTTTCTGTATTTACTCAGAGGAAAGATAGAAGATGTAAGATTTTGAAGAGGAAAAGTAAGGTCTATTCATCTTTATTACATTAAAAATACGTTTGTGATTAAAAACAAAAAGATAAAACATGAAGCACCATCCCAAGCAAAGCAATATGGAATGTAAGGAAATATGTTTAAGTGACCTCTTTCTCTGAAGCTCTAAGCCAGCAGTTCTGCATCTGTGGGTTGCAACCCCTTTGAGGGTCAAATATCAGATATTGTGAATATGAGATACTTACATTATGATTTGCAACACTAGCAAAATTACAATTATGAAGTAGCAACAAGATAATTTTATGTTTGGAGGAGGTCCCCACAACATGAGGAGCTGTATTAAAGGGTCCCAGCAGTTAAGAATGTTGAGAACCACTGCTTAAGCAAGAGAAAAATATTTCATTTCTAGGGAGAATCCCCTTCTATTGAGTACAGTTAGAAATGTATTTTTATATCAGATGTTTTTACAACCCTCTTCCCAGAATCCCATTTGTTATATTCTTAGTTTCACATATGAGTAGATGTCCTAGTGATCACAGAGAGGTTTGGGGGGTAGAGATCTAGTCAGACACTAGCTAATCCGAATACTTAGAGCAAATTGATTAGGTTCTGAACTGCTCTTTGCTCCCTTAACTTGGGTTAGTTATGTGGGGGAGGTTATCTGCTCACATTAGTCTTCCTGGCATGGTAGATTTGTGAACACTGGCGTAGGATGTCAGGAGTGATGTCATAACCTCCCCTGCTGAACACATTCTTGGCTGAGACTTGGAACTAATCACATGTCTAATCAGAGGTTCTGCCAGAGTCCTTAGGACAAGCTACAGCTACTTAAGTATCTCTTGCTTTAGGAAACTATCAGTGTTTGAGAAGGGTGTCTACACACATGACACACACACAGAAACATAAAAATAAAACCTAATAAAAGAAAAGAAAGAAAAATCAAACAAACAAAACCTACCAGACAATATCAATAAAACCAACCATAGCTATTATGCTGGGGAAAAAGTCACTATGGAAATCACCTAGAGGCATGCAACAATTTGATATCTTAAGAATGACTGAAAACCTACTCGGCTTTGGGCAATGGCAATGAATCTCTGGGATGTTCTGCCTGAATCCATTCCCATTCCCTCTTCTCACTTTGAAGTACAGAGGTTCTGTTTAGGCTATTTTCACTGTTGTAGGTAAAGGGGGCTCATTCGGTTAAAACAGTGAAAATGCTTGTGCTCCACAGGGCCAGTGATGGATGTAATCTTGGCAACAGTTGAGTGGAGAAGGGCGCCAACACTTAACTTCCTTAAGAATCAGACTGCGGTGGAGGCTGTGTACATGTCCCATGCAGATCAGGGAGAGCCTAACTGTTGGCATAGCCTCAGCATGAACAAAAGGCTCAAGTCAGGACGTTGCAGAATTGAACCTCAGGGCAGGCTTGAAAATGGCAGAAACTTAAATGCCCTCCTCTCTATTCTCACTAATCTCTTGGCAGAATGTGGGAAATACAATGGCTGGAGAGACTTGGGCACAGTCTCTGTCCAGTCATTAAATACTATCAAGTTTTCAG